TGAGGCAGCAGGACTGCTAGAGACAAATAAAATGAAAACAGGGCTGGGGATTTAGCTCAGTGGTTCTGCCACCTGCCTCACAAATAAAATGAAAACCTGACATTACCAAAACTTAAGGGATACAGGGAGGGAAGGAGGGAGAGAAAAGAAAGCAAACTAAGCACAAACTAGAAGAAATAAGTAATAATTACTGAGTAGATAAATGAAATAATTTAAAAGAAAAAAGTCAATGAAAGCTGGGGATAAAACAAGAGGATCACTGCAAGTTGGCCAGCCTGGGCTACATAGTTCAATGAAGCTTGAACTACATACACAGTGATACCCTGTTTCGGTCATGAAACCAAGTCAGTTCTTTAAAAATATCTACAAAATTCACAAAATTTTAGCCAGACTGACTAAAGGAAAAACAGTAGACATTATTAAAACTGAAACTGAAAGACATTACTACCCATTTTACAGAAATAAAACACTCAACATCTTTAGTCATTAAGAAAATGCTGGGATAGGGGGAGAACAAGCCTGTAATCCCAGTACTCGGGTGAGGTTAAAGCACGATCAGGGCAAGTTCAAAGCTAGTCTGGGGTACAGAGAAAGACTCTGTCTCAAAAAGACAAAACAAGAAAAAAAAAAAAAATGCAACTCAAAACCAAAATAAGAGCCAGGTGTGGTGGCATAGACCTGTAATCTCAGTTATTTGGGAGTCTGGGGCAGAAGAATCAAAGTTGAGGCCACCCTGAGCAACTGTCTCAAATAAACAAAAAAACCCACAATAAGATACTACTTGACATCATCTAGAATGGCTGTAACTTGAAAAGGAAAACTGTTATACTCTAGAAAGAATGGTCATCATCAAGAAATCAAATAATCCTGGGCATGGAGGCGCATGGCTATAATCTCAGCACTCAGGAGGCTGAGGCAGGAGGATTGGTGAGAGTTTGAGGCTAGCTTGGGCTACATAGTGAATTCGAGGCCAGACTGGACTATATACCAAGATCCTGTCTCAAAAATAAAACAAAGCAAAACATAAAAACAAAAACAATTCGATCCCCGGTACCAAAAAAACCCAAAAAACAAAAAAAAACAAAACCAAAACCAACCCCACCCCATTAATACAAAATGACAGTCAACAGCACATGTGGGCACTTGTGTAACAGGGTCCAGTGTCAACACTGCTACAACCTTTCTGGAAAATGATTTAAAATAAATAAATAAAGGTGATCTGTGAGAGAGAGAGAGAGAGAGAGAGAGAGAGAGAGAGAGAGAGAGAAAGAGAGAGAGAGAATTTTTTTTTTTTAAAACTGGGTATCAAACTCCAGACCTTGCGTTTTCGAAGCCGGCAACAGATCCACTGAGCTAAATCCCAGCCTATATAAATTTGAATGGTCAGAATACTGTATTTTAAGATCAAAATCTAAACTGAATAAAAATTTTTATTTGAAAAATAAAGTTTAAAACAAATATTAAATAAATGATTATGTCATGGGATACTAATTGAATGTGCTTCCAAAGTTTCAAGGCAATAGCTAAATTATGAAAGAATAAAACAATTATGAAATAGTTTATTAAAAACTGCATAAGCAGGGCACACTGGTACACACCTGTAATTCCAGCACCCTAGGAGGTTAACGCAGGAGGATTGCAAATTTGAGCCTAATCTGAGCAATACAGCAATTTAGTGAGACATTATGTGTGTTTGGGGGGGGGGGGCCTCAATTTCAAGACCAAGGCCTTGGGCACAACCCTCAGTATCACACAAAAATAAGTTCATATAAAAAGGCTGGGAGGGACAGGCACTGTGGCCCTGGGCCCACAACTCAGGAGGCTAAGGCAGGAAAATCCAAGCCCAAGGCCAGCCTAGACAACTTAGCAAGTCCCTGTTTCAAAATAAAAAATGTTTAAAAAGGACTGGGGATGTAGCTCTGTGCAAGGGCCCTGGGTTCAATCCACAGCACACCCCCCACCCCCACCCCCAAAAAAGAAAAGAAAAAAGCAAGGCTGGGATGAACTATGATAAAGATTAAGAATGAAAGCCAGAGATTTAGCTCAGCGGTTTAGCTGCCTGCTGCGCAAGTGCAAGGACCCGAGTTCGATCCCTGATACCAAGAAAAAAAAAAGATTAAAAATGAAAACATTCACTGGGGTAGAAACTTCAAAAAGGTACACCATCCTACCCCTAGTTTCTAAAGGGCCATGTCCCAAAACTTACTAAATTTGTTGATGATGGATTATGGTACTATTTTCTTCCTCAGATTTCACCTTTGAATTTCAGATGAAAAAAAAATTAATAGAAAAATAAACATTTAAAGGGAATAAACCTGTGCAAAGTGTGTGGTGGTCCGTGCCTGTAATCCCAGCACTGAGGGAGACTAAGGCAGTAGGACTGCTAGTTCATGCCCAGCTGGGAAACTTCACAAGACTTTGTCTCAAAACTTTTTTTAAAAAGGGCTGGGGATGTAGCTCAGTGTGAAGGGCCGGTGTTCAATCCCTGGTACCACATATACACACACACAGACACAGGAATAAACCTGAACTTCCCTGGTAATAATGCAGTGAGTGTTTCTAGGAAACAGTTCTTTCCTCTCTCTTTATTACAGCCAAATCATTTACTCAGCTATTCCCTAAGGACCAACAGCCTGCAGTAAAGCAATGGGGCAGGGCTGACCTGCCATGGTTTATAAGCTGGCTCTGTTTTCACCCCAATTGGGTGGATCTCAGATGAGTGTGGGTAGCAAGGTTCCATGATGGTTCAGCCCCTATAATGCAGAAAGACCTGAAGCCCAGGTATGGATATGAGTATACACCCAGGAGAAGTCAGCTGCCAAGAATGCCATTTGCTCAAGGGAAGAAAGAAATGCTTCCTTGAAACATCGTACCAACCCAATGTGCCTGGGCAGTGACTACAGGAGGGAAGCAAGAGGGGACTGTGAAGAGGGCAGTCTGAGCAGGAAGTGAGCATCTGGCCATGGGTTTATTGTCCCCTGGCCCAGCTTCCTCAAATAGAAGGTAAGGCTTTGACTTGTTCAACCCATGCACACTGGGATTCAACCAGCCAATCTCTATCTTTGGCTTAGTAGGTCTTGGCCCACTGTTCCACAGGCTCACAGGCCATTGAGCTCAAAAGGTAAGATTCTACCCTTACAGCCTAAGACTATTCCATCCATTCTTAACATTTCCTAAAAATAGCTATGGATTAGCTGTTTATTTCTTATCATTTATAATTAAATATCATTCATTCTTAAATAAATTTCTTATATAAAATCTGAATTAGAAAAGGAACAGGTGAGATGGAGATGGTGGGACATGCCTGTAATCCCAGCACATGGGAGGCAAAGGCAGGAGGACTGAGACCTTGAGGGCAGTACAGGTTACACAGAGTTCAAGGCCAGCCTGAACTACACAGTGAGACACTATTTCAAAAAAAAGGGGATATGTAATCATACGGTCCAAGATGTGCTCTTCAGCACCTAACAGGCCACAATGGCAGTTAAGGACTGCAGGCAAAGCCCAGCTCCTCCTATCCAGTAGCTTCCTGCCCACTTGCTCTGTCCCCCAAGCCCTGTTACTTTCAAGCCTAAAGAAATCCAAAGGACTCATCTTGAAAACCAGACTGGAAGCTCCTAGATTCAAAACAATCAGAGTCTATTTTTCCTTAGATATTCAAATGACTACAATAATAAACCACAAATCTAGTTATTTGCTAGGGACTTACTTTAAAAAAACAAAAATACAACCTTGTAACAAGCACCAAGAAGAAGCATCTACAGTAAGCATGTTTTGTGTTCTGCTTTGGTGAGAAGCCAATCTGCCCATAAGAAATAATTATATATGACAATGACAGGACAGTATCAGGCACAGGGAAAGGACCTGAGGCTCAGATGGGCAAAGCGGCAAAGAAAAAGAAGAGAGAAGCACAATGGCAAGGATATAAAACTGGGGGTGGGGGGTGGGGTCAGTCACCAGAAGGCTATTCAACATCTGGTGGACAAATGGTGCAGCTCAGAGAGAGAGAAGCCAAGGATGGAGACAGAAGTGTGGGAATCCTTTACTTACCAGCATGATAACCTACAAAGCTGGGAAAAGTAAGGGTCTTAGAGGCAAAGAAAAAGGAGAGTAAGGCAGAGATAACCAACAGCCAAGTATAAGAATGAGGAGGAAGCAGTAGCAGGTCAGAAAAAAGTGGCATAATGGTTACAGGACTGGGGACTAGGACAGTGTCAAAGGTTCCAGAGACAAGCAAGGGCCATACGTGTAACAAGTGAGAGGAGGCTGTGTGTTTGGTGCGATGTTCTTTCAGAAGACAGAAAAAAGAAGGACTGCACACTGGAATTCAAGTCCAGTTGCTAGCCGGGTGAGGGGACCAAGGGATGGAGACAAGGAGATTCATTAAATCAAACTGGTACTAAGGCCAAGGCAAGCCACTGTCAGGAGGAGCCTGAGTCTGTCTGAATCCAGAAGTCCCTAAGTTGGGGGAACTGGACTTGGGAGATATCCAGACAATTAGAAATAAAGATCTGAGACAAATGTCAAGCACATGTTAGAGGGTACAAGGAATAAAGTCCGTAACACAGGTGTCCAGGGGATGAGAAACACAGACGCAAAACCAAGGGGGAAAGTAAAAGAAGATCTAGACGGGAATGCCAACCTTCTTCCAAGAGATGCCAGAGAAGGAGGTCTTGTCCTGATAAATAGGGCCAGGTACCCAGAAGCCAGGGAAAACTGGAAAGAGCAGGAGCACAGATACATACTTCTCTTCCCTGTGTAGATAACCACAGATCAGAAAAGTTTGGTACCCTCAGAATTTTAGAAAACCAATGCAAAGCCAGGATTCTGCAAGGCCATGCCCTACCCTACCCTACCTGTCACCCTTGAGCCACAGCTCACTTCTGTGCATCTGCGGGTTGCCCCAACCACAAGCCTACTTAGGACCTCAGAGATAAGCCCAGCAGCACACACCACCTGAAAGAATAATCTGATAAGAAGTGGAAGTGTTCAATACTCACAGGAACAATAAGCCCTTGCCAAGTCAATAAATTAGCTTCATCAACCTGGATGTTACGGAAGTTTTTCATTCCACATTTGCGGATCTCTTCAAGCTCCTGTTGATTAACAAAGCATAAAGGGGTGTCAAATTGGGGAAAGCACCACATATTAAGATCCCTCTGACTCCCTCAAATTGAACCAGGTCACAACACCACCAATGATACAATATGAGTGAAGACTAGACCATGCCTGGTTTGGTTAAAGAGGCATGGTAGAGGGGAAATTCTGTGAGCTCACTGCCTATATCTGTCCCAGACCAAGACAAGTCCCCAACTCAGTAACCCACTGCACATGATAGGAGGGATCATGTTTCCACAGACGTATCACCTCCTCTCTGTGGTGGTCATCATGCCTGTTTACTCTCACACCCTGCACACAGCAGACATGTGGCAGGGACTAGCCTGTACAGATCTGACTTCTTCCAACAGAGATTTAATAAGGGCTGACTGTGCACTGGACACTGAAAATACATAGATGAATAAAACTGGCTAGAAGCCAACCAAAGGCAAATGCACACCCACCAACTTTCCTACCCAATGCTGTGAGCTGTGACTTCAGGGCTTCACTCCAGCACCAGCACAAGCAAAGAGAAAACCAACCAGTCTGGTACTGGGAAGGGACAGAAAACCTTCAGTGAGCCTGTTTCTTCAGCTGCTAAATAGAGGTTATAAGACAGCTGCAGACAATTAAGAGGAAACCACACTGTAAGCAACAAGAATCCTTACAAACGAGATGTCATTACTGTATATGTAAATAGTCAATGAAGCAAATGCCATTTCACCCAGAAAGCACAACCACCATGATCAATTACACTAAGTCCCTGCCTGAGATGTCTTTAGAATTGCCTATCACTTGCTTTTCAACTGTGCACCAGCCTGGTATTTCCCATTGCCTCCCCAACACCTCAGGTGAATGTCTGGCTAGTGTCATAACACAAGGCACCCTCTTGCCCACACATCAAATCACCAACATTCCTTCATGTGCAGATGAATGCCACTCCCAACACTACTTTGGCCTTCCGACTAATGGCACAACACCCTCCCCCACATCTCAGGTGCCTTCTCTTCTGCAACTCAAGCACTACTCCCACTGGGCCCTGCCTCCTCTGTCAGGCTGCTTCCTCTCTGGCCCAGCCTACACACCCTCTAGAACAGTGGCTGTGAACCTATAGCAGGTGTGCTGCAGCAGGCAAACAGAGCCCTCTCCGTCAGCATGCAAGCCAAGCCACCCTAGCAGCTGAGCATCAGATAACAATTGTTTTTTTCTAAACTAAAACCTCAGTCAGTATTTGGGTCTAATTGCAGCGTTGACACTTTGCAATGGGTACTGAGTTGTAGTTTGGGCACTCCGTCTCTAAAAGGTTCACTATCACTGCTCTAGAAGGAAGAAGGCCCCTCGGTGTGTGGAGCCATGGCTCACAATGGCACAGCAGCTTCGGTATCAGCCCCTACATCAAACTCCCCAAATCCTCTGTACTCCACATTCCCATCACACCACAGCAGTTTATAAGGTACATAGGGCAACACTAGATAGAACAAACAATTCCTGAGGAAAGGGAAACTGGAGCAGGTGTGACAGGTTCTGAGTAGGGTGGGTGAGTGTGTGTGTATGTGTGTGTGTGTGTGTGTGTGTGTGAGATGCGCAGGGGGTGTGGCCCAAAAACAAGTACACTAAAGGAATGCATGGAACAGGCAATTCATGTCAATCAACAGCCAGGAGTATCTTCCCACAGGGTGCTTGCTCACTGCTGGTCAATCCCAGATGCCTACTACAATTATCTGGACCTGAGCCCAGCCAAAGAAATTTTGGTCAAGCAAGTGTGGATGGATTTGAACATGGGGATACTTACCAAGCAGCCTAAGAATGGAAAAGCATTGAGAAATGAGCAGCAGATCCATTTCTAAGAAAGGGCTGGTACTAGCAGCAGGACTTACAACCCCCTGCAGCAGAAAATGAGGTAGCCTGGCCCCTCTGCAGAGAAATCACGGTGCTTAAAGGAACATTCTAACTTGCTGCCTGCCATCTAGTCCTCCTACTAATACCCAAGACTAATTCCAAAGGTTCCCCTGGAGATTATAAAATATGGGCAAGTTCAGGAAAGGGAAAAGGTCTCATACCCTAACACATATCCCAAACAGAATGTCAGCTCCATGAGGACAGGAATCAGGAAGACCCAACATTGCAAGGGCTTAGCTTATAGTGAGGCTCAAATATCTGCGGCATGACTGGGTTAGTGAATGGCTAGGAAGCTAGCGGGGGAGGGGGGGGCGGAGATAGGAAGGATTCTCTGCAAATGGAGTATAAAAGGTGTGGCCCAGTGATTTAGCTCAGTGGTTCTGCCGCCTGGCCTGTCTCGAAAGCACAAGGACTCGAGTTTGATCCCTGGTACCAAAAAAAAAAAAAAGAACTCAGAGTATAAAAGGTGTATTTTGTCTTTCTGGTCCTTGGCTCAAGACACTACAGTAAGACTTTTTGGTAAGGAGAACCACGTGTGGTGGCACACATCTATAATCCCAGCACTTGGGAGACTGAGACAGGATGATTGCTGTGAGTTCAAGGCCAGCCTGAACTAAACAGTGAGAACCTGTCTCAAAAAAAAGAAAAGAAAAGAAAGAAAAGATTCTCTAAAACTAGATAACCAAAAAAGAAACAACAAATGAAAAGATACCTAATATTGAAAAAAAATAATTTTAAAATGATCTACAAATATACTACAAATATACTTTATGGCTTCAGAACTCTACATACTAACAACATGAAGTATCACTGATAAACACAAGAGTGTAAATTTCATAAGAATTTCAAAAATATTGCAAGATGGACTTAATTGAAACAGAGCAGTAAAAAACTATATCTTGCTCAAGAAAAAGGAGGAACCTATGGGCATGGGTACAAGGAAGGCACCTAATTCAGCACTTTGATATCAAGCAGATGCATCAGCGAAGATGAAAGCCATACTACTGCAGGAGTAAGCCACACACATACAGGGCAGAGAAGAAAAGGCAACTCAAACAGAGGCTAGTTGGGAGACAGGGAGTCCAAACCAGCGTTATCAGATAAACTATTAATTTACATTGCTTTCAAATTAAGCTGTCCCAAGTAGAAAAAGGTCATCTCCTTTGTATAATTCTAGCCAACAAGAAAGAACTGATTATAAGGCAAAAGTGAGAGAATCTGAGACAAACAAATATGCCCTGTTATCTTTTTTTTCTTCCCCCCCATTAAGTTTATTGGTACATTTCAGGTATAAAATACATTTACATACATCATTGGGATCCTGTACCATTACATGAGTATCTTGGTTCTTATTTTTTTCTCCCTTCCCCTGCCCTCCCTTCACTCCCTCCACCCTTCCCTATTTGGAAAGACTTTGTTTCCATTTTTTCCTTTTCTCATATTTTTTCTTTTCCCTTCTTTCCTTTCCCCTACCTCTCCCACTTGCCCTGCTCCTTTAGACCTTTACTTCCTATTACACAATATCAATTATACATTTTTAAAATTAAAATATCAAGACCTAGGAGACATTACCACAGATTTTACAGAATTTAAAAGGATACAGGAAGCATATTTCAAAAATCTGTCTTGAAATAAATATGACAATTTCTAAGAAGTACCTTGGAAGACAAATCAATGAAACTAACTCTGGAGGAAATATAAAATTTGAATAACACCTATTAAAGAAAGTATATTCCTAGCTTGAAAACCTACCTATATGACAACAACAGGCTCGTATACATTTTAACTGATAAATTATATCAAACATTTAAAGCAGAAAAAAAAAAGGAACATTTCTCCCCTCATTTTAGGAAATCAACATTGTGCTAATCCTAAAACTGGATAAAGATAATAGAAGAAAAAAGTATGAACATAGATAGAAATTTGTTTAACAAAACAAACTATTAGAAGTCAGATCTGGCAGTATGTAGAAAGTGGTTTTATTATAGGGATGGCAGTGTTGGTTCAGCATTGGAAGATCCACCCCCAAAAGTCATCATTTTAACAGAAGAAAGGAAAAAGCCATATGATCCTGTCACTAGTTGGAGAAAAAGTATTGGACTAAATTCCACAGCTGTTCATGGTAAAAGCTATCAGGAGACTAGAAGTAGACTAGAAGTAGAACAGAATCTTCTCAACAGATGAAAGACATGTATTCCATACTTCCAGCAAGAACGCCTTATATGAATGGAGAAGATACAATGCTTTCTCCTTAAGGTGGGGAACAAGGTATGCCCTGTTATCTTGAGGGAAGAGTGAGCACCCCACAGCAGAGAGAGGGTTTCTCAATAGGGTATCACCGGCACCCAGGCCACGACCCTGCACTTGAGCATTCTGAGCCCTGCCCATGACACAGATGCTCAGCATTTCGATACCACCCCACCCAGCTGTCCCAACATCCTCTAGAGCCCCAGCTGACAAACACTGGCAGTATCAGTTGCCAGGATGCTAAAAGTTCTGCATTGCACAAGATGGCCCTTCAGGAAAAACGATTCAGCCCAAAATGCCAATCATGCCTCCACTGAGGTAAACAAGATGAATTCTACCTATTTGGAGAAAAAATAGGATCCATCTAAGACTCAAAAAGGCAAGATGTCTCAAACTCTGTGAATGGCAAATCCTTGAGCAAAATTGTGCCCTTTATAAATGAAAATAGTCCTGAAAATGAAGAACCGGAGAAGGAATTTTAAAGCAACTCATGTTAGGTTCAGAGGTGGATTTCAAGTGGCTATTGTAGGTGATGGAAAAAAGAAGCCGACAAGGAAAAAACATAATAAGGCAGCCTAAACCTACAGAGAAAAGTCAGGAAGACTAAAGCCAAGCTTACAAAATATGCTCCTGCATAAGTTTTTTTCAGTTCTGTTCAGAGGCAGAAACTGGGGTCAGATGCTCAGAGATGATGGTGGAATTCTGACAAACCAAGAGATGAGCTTTAAGGAAAGCAGAACCAGCCAACTCCCTCATCCCTTCTCCTGGTGAGAGACAGCAGGCTTCCTAGCCAGCACAAGTGGTGCAGGAAGAGAGCAACACTTCTTAAAACGAGGTCACTTTCAAAGCCCAG